GTCTACTAACCGCCCGATAAAGCCGTGGCTTTTCGGCACGGAAACGCTTCGAGAAAATAATTAACTCCGTCCATTCCGGCGGTTCCTTCGATTTACATGGGCTTCACCGCGTTGCGAGCGAGTACGTGAATCCTCATTCTGTCTAGAGGGACAGCTAACGTATAGAGGTATCTTGATTTGACGTGGCAGTAGCAGTGCTCTGTCATGTCGAGCTGTTCCGTCATGTTCGTACTATTGTGCGTGTGACCGTGTATGTTAGATTTATGATATTCGAGGAGATGGGATGTTATATGAGAAGACTCTATCGTGTAGAGAATGCAAGACGAAACGCGTGTATATATGAGAAAATTGATAACAAATTAATTTCCATTAGCTATATACATATGATAGAATATAAATTTAGTTATTAAATAAAAATAAAAGGCAGATTGTTAGCGAGTTTGTGATTTGATTACAGAATTAAATATTTACTGCATTAATTGATTTTTCTTAATTGCAAAAATTTCAATTCCATCATTTTTATATATGCACATCTTGTCAATCGTTATCGTAAAGTCTGCTTGCACCGTCTCTTAGTTCGATGAGGCTTGCATAGAGATTGACGATTTTGAATCGACGTTTCAAGTCGAGTAGGCTTTTAAGCTCCGATTTGTCGGCAAATACATCCATCTGCTTCGCCTTTTCAAAGAAGGATTTAACTTTCGCTCGACGTCTAACGATAAAAAATGTTTATCGTTGAACAAAAGAGGAAATTATTGACTGATTTATCTGACTTATTAATTTCTGATTTGCAATTTATTTAAAAAATGTTTATTTCATTACTCGAAATTTTTGAATAATTAATTAGTCTGGCGAAAGTCGTTTTGTTTTTTTCATTGTAAGAAATAAAGATAGGAACTGATACTATTATTAGTAAAAATTGGAAAATAAATGGACGAATGAAGTAAATCATATTTTAAATTGAAGTTACTTTTAATTTATTAAAAGACCAACTGCTTTTTCCATTTTAAAGGAATGGAAATAGATGCAAATTCATTATTTCGAGCGTAAGATTACGATTTACGATTTAATATCCATTTTCTGAGCGCATTCACACTTGATATTACTTTCTATGCATTGCGTATAAATTAAAAATTCAGAAAAATGCAGCAGAACTAGAGAAAGAGAAAGAGAGAATAAGAGAGCAATTACTCGGGCAGCTTCTATCTATTAAAACAACGTGTTTAGCTTGCCGTGCTTGTTGCGCCCCACGACCGCGCGCGAACGCTAAGGCTGTCATCGACGTCCTAGAAACAACTTCGGCAACACGGGAAGCGGAATATTAGTGAACAATGGTGGCCATAATGCTTCCTGCCGGTTATAACGCCAAGCGTACCTGTTTGCAACTTGAGTCAAGCGCAAACCTAGGATTGGATGGCAGACAATTTAAGCTCGGCTTACGATTTAAACAACGGTTGCTGTACAAGCGGGCCTCTCCATCCACCCTACCGCCCCATTTAAACACTCTTACAACTACCCAAATGTGGTATGGATTAATTCATTCAACGTCCCTATCTGCATCTGGGAAGGGGCTTTCGGGCGCTTAAAGCGGGAAATAAATCTATCCCGCGCGGCGAGTCTCCGAGATCGCAAGCAGCAAAGAATCTAAATTGCGGTTGCCGTTGTAATCCATCGTTGTCACCCGCGCGAAATAAATGATATCCGTAATTGTACCCACCCGTACATTTTATTAAGCTGGCCATTGTTCGCCGCCGAAAGTAAACTGTCTAGTGGTGCGTATTTCCGCGTCGTATATATTTCGCACTGAATACGGTCACCACTTTATGTAAATACGAACAACGACCTTCGTATCGGACAAATGAGAGCGTCAGAGACCTGACAATCACGTTTCGGTACAAATCAACCGGGCAATGCACCGCCTCTATTCGCGATTTCGACCATTTTGCGAAATGCTTGGAAAAATAAAATGTATATCGATACTTGAGCGACGTGAATTCGGGTGAAACCATTTTGGCGACATCTCGGATTGTGACGATAATAATTTCTTAATTTGCAATGCACTTTCGGCGCGGGACTGCGAAAAATAAAATGTGTATTCGTACATATCAATACTTGAGCGACGTGAATTCGAGTGAAACCATTTTGGCGACATCTCGGATTGTGACGATAATAATTTCTTAATTTGCAATGCACTTTCGGCGCGGGACTGCGAAAAATAAAATGTGTATTCGTATATATCAATACTTGAGCGACGTGAATTCGGGTGAAACCATTTTGGCGACATCTCGGATTGTGACGATAATAATTTCTTAATTTGCAATGCACTTTTGGCGCGGGACTGCGAAAATAATGGTCGCTGCGTTAACTTGGCGTCAAAAGTTCCGGGCGAGCGTTTAACATACGTCCGACGCCATATTTATGAGCCATGAAATATTTCCGTGTTATAATTGCGCCTTAAAGCCTGAATTCATAATGCCCATTCTCCTCAAGCGCTGTATCCCCGCCCCCTTTTGTGCCCGTTGGGCACTTAAAAAGAAAGATATGCAAAGGGCATTAAATAAATTTACACTCTCGGTGCTCCCTCGCTCGTCGCGCGAACGCGCACGTGAACAGATTACTTTCCTTTCTTTTTCCTTCTCGTTCCTTTAAGTCGGATTTACGATATCGCGAAATTCGTTTATAATTTTTACGGTGGCCCTAATGAGGGTTTTTCGTGTCCGAGGCTACATCCTGCTTTCTCGTGCTTTCTCTCAGAAACGACCTTTTTCTCACGGAAAATTATAACGCCGATGTCCCTTAATGATACACCGAGGGATCATACAAACCATATAAATGATGTTAATTTGATTAATGAATAATTAATTCATGAATTTAATGTATTCGCGGGACATAACAAAAATGTCAAAATCTGAAAGAATAAAACGAAGCGAGCGCGTCTCTTAATGGACAAGTAAATTGTCAAGATGCTAGGATAATCGAGAAAGAACTAATTCGATCGAGAATTGTATGATCGTGTCAAGAATAAATGAGAAACAAACAGGAATACCGTATGCTGCTTTTCTAGCGCCGTTTTATTCTTGGTGCTTTTAATTTCGAGCCACAAAGCTCTTTATAGTATATCCGCAAGGGGTATAATTACCCACGAAAGAGAAGAAAGCTGGCATTGAATATTTTAGCTCCCGTTCCTTCTAGCTGTTTCGCAAACCTCTCTTCTTCCCCTTCTTATACTCTCACTTCTCTTTGGCTATGGGGTACTAACACCCCTCGTTTCGTACCGAAAATAAGAACGAATAAGCCGAAGAGAGCGAGAATGGAAAGTATTCTAACTATTTTTATCTTTCTAAGGTCTTACGGTCCTAGGATTAGCTAGGAAAGTTACGTCAGACATTTTGTGGTCAGCTTTGCATAAGTCTCAGATCTCTCTCTCTCTCTCTTTCTTTCTCTATCTATCTCTCTTTTCCTCGTTACTTTCCACGTTGTTTCGTATTCCATCTCTTTATTTCGCGATTCTCGGTTCGACTGTACGTATGTCCAATAAAAATGTAGGACTGCGCATTAACTTCTATATCTCTCTAATCCGACAAGCTATTTTGCTTTTGAGAGTTTAAGTATATTACTAAATTGCTGATTCGCCATTCACAGCAGTAATTTACAAAATTTCGAGTTTAAAAATTATTTATGAATAAACACAATTAAAGTGTTCTTCCAAATATCAGGCATAACAGTCTATAAAACAGTTTATAAAATATATTTATAATAATTAAAATATATTTTTAGATTTTTTGTTTTAATATTATATTAATTTCTTTCATTAATATAAAAATCAGAATATATATTTTATAGCTAATGAAAAAATTGATATACAATTGTGTAAAAAAATTTCAAGAGAAGCGATGCTTTATTTTATGAAAGTCAGCGAACCAGTTTATCGTTATTATAATTAATATAAAGAACGATCGCGAGATATGATATTTAATGAGTGATTCAAAGTGTTATGTTGGTTTTTCGTGTTGTAAAAGTCAGCAGATTTTATTTTATCGTCATAGTTAATATAATAAGGGGACGGCCAACGAAAATGAATTGCATCGATATGCAAATGCTCACCGAATGTATAATCAATGTAATATATTCCAAAAGCATTTTTTCCACTGTAATATCGTTACAAATGAATACGCGTACTGATTACATTTTCCTTCCGGTGATTTAATTCATAACATAAGCTTATAGGATTCGAAAAAATAATGAAACGTTCGAGTATGCGCCGATAGTGGCAAATTAACAAAGTTATCACCTCGCGAAGGGGTGAAAACTTTGCAAAGTAATCTTCGGCGAGTTCATCTTTACAGGCCGTACACGTCCGATATAAAGTATCTCACGTTGTTGAAGGGAAAAAAACCGGAAGATCTGTCTTTCGTGACGCGTTTCGCCTCTTCGAACAATTCCGCGCAGCCGGTGTTCAAGAATGAGGTATAAACCGTTGATAAATGATCACGGCAGAAAGAACAGCCTCGTAATTGTAGTCTTATTAATGGCTCGCAACTGCACGCCTGTAACGACCTGTAGCTATAACACGCATCTCGTTTGTATCTCGCAACCGTAATCTGCCAATTTACGGCGTGAAATCGCTAGTAGCACGAGACCGTGCACGAAAGTATTCAACGGTATTCAAAATATGAGCGCGATAAACATAGTATCCACAGAATAAATCCCCAATTATTTGGAAAAATATGAATTCCTGTCTCGTTTATATTCACTTGTCACACATTTTCCATATATACAATATTTATATATCTATATTTATAAGTTATTTGAATAACTCTTTTTCAAAAATTTAGAGAGAAAAAAAGAGAGAAAGAGATTTTATCTCCATAAATTTATAAATTAATTTTAACTTTGGTTATCAATTTTTTTTGGGAGAAAAGTTAAAAGAGTAATGAAAAAAATTTTTCTTTGCAGCGATATACTTCAATTTCGTTCGATAACTTAAATTATATTTCCAGGATGTCTCGGGGCCAAGGGGGATGGTCCGACGAGCCTTGCACTTCCGGTAGTGCGAGTCGCCGCAGTGGAGCGCGGCAAATGGCGGGATCGTCCTCGAGAACGTCAACTTCCGCCTTGGAGGAGCGTGCTTCCGGTACTACGCCGTGTAAAAGTGGGTTCAGATTAGGTGTCTACGGTTGGAGAAAAAGATGTCTCTACTCCCTCGTATTGACCCTCATGATCATCGTTATTCTCAACCTCGCTCTTACCGTCTGGCTTTTGAAAGTCATGGGATTCAGTTCCGTAAGTTTATAAATTAATGACTCAATTATTTTAACGTCACACACCATCAATATGAACTCATAAAATTAATAAATTTATCAATAATGTTCTTTCTTAAAAGCTTAATAAAAATTTAAGATAGTAGATAAGAACACAATGACTCATAATGTTGATTAAATGTTTTAAAAAATTAGAGTATTATTTTAGAAAAATATTTTATTTAAAAAATATATTTTATCAATATTCTACTTATAAGAAGCTATTTTTACATACTTTCTTTTCGTTTTCTACTTTTTCATTATATAAAATATATATTTTCAGTAAATAAAAATTCACACAGATTTCTAAAAAAATTTAATCAATTCTGGGAGCAATTGCATGATTAATTTCGCGTATATCGATTAATTCGCGAATTTTACATATTTAAACTTTCGTAATAAATCAGAAATATATATATATATATATATCAAGGGTGTATAGGGACGCACTTTGGCTAGGCCCAGAACGGTCCTTTCCGGTTAGGATCTTCTGCTATAAGTTCGACCTGAATAGGGACGTATGTAACTTTTCGACAGTCATTAAAGTCGACTTCTCTGCCTTGCGGCTTGGAATTAGTTTCGCGCGAGTTCCTGAGCCTGAATAACAAGCCTCGACGAGGGTGCCGGCTCGTGCGAGCGTGGGATGCATCACCGACGATTTGGAGGATGAGAGAGAGGGAAAGGTGGCGTGAAGCGCGAAGGTGGTTAATATAATTCGCCGTAATTGCCGGAACCGTTACATCGACGCCGTGGTGTTTCCGTCGCGGAAAATTGTCGCTTGCACTTCATACTTCTCTTTCAGACTTAATTCGGTCGCATTACAATTACTCGCTGGAATCGACCGGAGAGATGGGGAAAAGAGGGCGAGGATTCATTAGTAAGTAAGTCGGCAATGTTCGAGCGTTTCTCCTTTTGTTCTTCGCAATCTTGGAGAAACGCGACCCATACCAACTTCTTGATTGCGATAATGGCTGTAATGTAAAGATCGTTTCAATGTAAATGTCTATGTTGCGCGCGAAGACCAACTTGCTCACGACTTTTTTAACGCGACAAATCACTTCAAAATGTATGCATCTTATTATATAAATTTCTATAAACGAATAATCGTGCGTAATAATTTTACTACTTATGCTACAATGCGGAAAATAAAATGAAATAAAATCAGTATAATTTTTCTTCTCGATAAACCAAAAATGTCTATGTTGCGCGCGAAGACCAACTTGCTCATGACTTTTTTAGCGCGACAAATCACTTCAAAATGTATGCATCTTATTATATAAATTTCTATAAACGAATAATCATGCGTAATAATTTTACTACTTATGCTACAATGCGGAAAATAAAATGAAATAAAATCAGTATAATTTTTCTTCTCGATAAACCAAAAATGTCTATGTTGCGCGCGAAGACCAACTTGCTCACGACTTTTTTAGCGCGACAAATCACTTCAAAATATATGCATCTTATTATATAAATTTCTATAAACGAATAATCATGCGTAATAATTTTACTACTTATGCTACAATGCGGAAAATAAAATGAAATAAAATCAGTATAATTTTTGTTCTCGATAAACCACTTTAAAGAGTAAAATAATAGCTGCACAATGCACTTTGCAATCACCTGTAACACACGCCGATTCGTTCGATTCGATTTTCATGCGCGCAGAAACTCACATAAATTCTTTCAATCCACTTTATCGCCCGGTCGCATAATCGTACCTAACGCTTTCGCTTCTGCAAATCGCAGCATTCCCACGTACGCGAGAGAGGTGCAACAATGCCATGGATTCGTCGGCGATTAAGCTGGTGCCTAGTTCGCTCGATTAAGGCAAAAACGATCGTGGTACTATTCGCCTCGCGTTCCCGCCAAGCTGCTGCTACTGCGACTCCCTATTCACTATTATCGAATTTATTCGAAATCGAAAGGAGTTCCTGCGATCTGGCGCAATGATCCCTCGATGGGGACTAAACTCGGTAGAAATTGAGTATCAATCCGTAAGTAAGGTGCCTGGGAGCAGCAGGGATACCCCATGGGAAATGTAAGTCTCTGCCACTTCTTTCCCACCCCTTTTCACCCTTTCAACTCTCTCTCTCTCTTTCTTCTTGGATTCTTTCCCGTTTTACGCTAGTTCCGTCAATTTCTTGCCTCCTTCTCTTGCCTTCACATCTCTTATCCCATCCTCCCACAGTGATTCTCTCATTTGATCTCCCATCCGGTTTTTCTCTAGCTTTCCTCTTTCTCTTTCTCCAACTCCCTTTTTTTCTCTAGTTCCCACCCTCTCTCTCTCTCGAAACATCCTTCAACGCAGTTAATACTGCTCGATTCACGCCGAAAACTTTTCCAACTAACGTGTCGTTCTTCTCTCTCTTTCCCACCTTCGTTCGTCGTAAGTCGTAATTAGAGGAGCGATAATTAAACTCTCGTTTATCGGCCGGTATTCGTGCCGATAACTCATGTCCGATTAATTGTGCGACTCGGTAAATCAGCGAGACAATCAATTACGAGTTCGAGCGCGTTAATTATTGCGCGCGGTCGGGTTGCGGGCTGCTCCGGCCGACGATTTACGACGATTTCGATTCACGGTGACGGATTCGACCGGGATATCTCGGAAAAGTCGAATGTAAAATTCCTCGTTGAGTCTGTGTCGGCGCGAGTCGAGCGACCGCGGTTACTATATAGAGATATGGTTTGTGCGTGGTAGTTTATAGAGTAAGAACGTGATTTTGTAATACGATGTACATACGTGAAATTTTGCGAGAAATGGATGGAATTTAGCGTATAATCGGATTGATCGAGCAACTGCATAAAACTGAATATAACTCTATAATTCCATTTTCATCTGCACAATTTAGACTAAATCTATCTTGAAACAAATAACATTTCGTAGTAAATGTAACAATAGGAAATATTAGTGATAAATTCTAAATATATTATCATAACACCGAAAAAATTGTATTCTTAGCACCAAGAAGATTCTCTTAATTTAAGAAATTTCTCTAAATTTTAGTATATTTTTTTCTGAAAATAAGAATAAATTAAGAATATCATCTTAAATTAAGAGGATACAAAACATCCACTATGTCCCGCGCTTTTTATAATGTGCCAAAAAAGTGGCAAGAAACCGAAAGAATATTTGAAATTAAGATACTTTTATATTTTCTAATATAATTAACCATATGACACTTGTGCAAGTTTGAAAATAAGATTTACAAAATAACCAAGGATGACGCAAATTACATAACGATGTTTTCAGCGTTATAAGATGTCTCGAAATTATATATATATATATATATATATATATTACAAGAAAAATAAAAAAAATAACGTTTATTTTAATAATAATATATTAAATTAAAAATTAAAATATTTCGACGAATTAAATAAACGAGCAAATATTATTTTTATTTCGGTTTTTCGTTTTTTTGTTTCTTTAACTCTTATTGTTAGTACATATCACGCACTGTAAATGATAGAAATGCGATTCGGTAATACGTATTTATTATAGTGTTTATATAAACTGGCGTCGCTAGTTACAGATACCGCTGAAATCAAAAGTCTCCAAGATAGAGTCGGAACTCCTCGAGACTTGGTTGATATCCATCTAGAAGTTTTCCTATACGAGGCATTCCTCCTAGGCGAGTGAAAGCGCGATGCACTCGCGAACCGGGAAATATTTCATGCCCACGGTACTTCTCCCTCGCCTTTATCCACCCATCCTTCCCGACCATTCATATTTGATGAGAGTCTCGGTCTGCCTCCCACTGCCTCTTTTCACTCTTGGGTTGCCCCGTCTCGACCAACTCCGGCCGATGTCCCATCCCTCAGCCGCAGACGAGAGAGAAAGAGAAAGAGAGATACCGCGAAGAAATTAAATCATTTTTCTCAATTAAGAAAACCGCCTCGCCCTCATAACTGCAAAACTTTTGCCTCGGTGGAATTAATTAAGAGCACTCGATCGGGGCGCTTTATTAATGAAGTCCGGTTTCGTCGCGTTCGATGCTACCGTTAATAATCGGATGTACATGACGTATTTCTTATCGCGATATATTTATTTGGAAAATCGTGCGGAATGGAGACAAACTTTGCTTCAATTAACCTTTGCGATAAAAATAACAACCGACGTTCCTTTTTTAGTGAAAATTAAACGTTTAATATCTTTTCACAACTCCTAAGTATCTTAGTACAGCTAAGCTTCTTATAATTTCAAGAACTTCCTTCATTTATCATTTATATTTTTCACTACTCAAGATTTCGCTTCGTCAATGTTTTTAATATTTTTTTAATTATATCGTTTCTATTTGCAATCTTCGATTGCGTTGTTCGGGAAAAAATTTTATCGATTACGCTTGCACTTTTACGCTGATACGAAAAGATTTTCTTTATAAAGCGCACGTTGTCGTTCATGAGTATCAATATTTCGGGCTCTTTTCGGGATTCCTATCAAGTGGAGAGGTCTTAGGAGAGATCTTCGATTACGGACAATATATAATACAGCCTGAAACGTTATGTCGAACGGAGTAGTATACGGACACTATATTGGCACTAACGGCTTACATACATGGCCATAGCGAACAGATGCCCCTTCCACCTAATATCGCTTGCGGGACCTTACCCTCTATAACCCTTGTATCCATAGAGAATTCACCTGTATACATTCCTTCCTACACATCCCCTGCGAAGATACATATTGCACACGCGCTCCACACCCGCATACAAGGTGAGTCCTTTCGCAAGCGTCCCTTTCGCAGAGAATCAATTGAAATTCATGTCTCCAAATGAACACTTCTACTCAAGTCGTATACATTCGTGCACATTTCCGTTAAATCGCCGTCAGTGATATCGACACTTTATAAATATTTGTTAAAGAATTTTTTTTTCTACTACGACAATTTGTGAAATGTTCGAAATGTGCAATATATATATAATAAAAATAACTCTACTCTCCGTTTTTGTCGAAATTAAATTTATAATTTTATTGGA